TTTTAAAAAAATTTAAATAGGTGTAAATCAGTTTGAACTTACCCAGAACTTCAAACTACATCACCGATCATGAAGGATTCAATAGTAAACAATAGATGATTAGTACGATTACAAGAACTAATAATAGAAACAAGGCTCGTTACAGAATCATGGTTGTTATGCATTGGTTAGTTGATTACTTTTAATGCCAGCAACCCGCTTCTTCTATCCAGAAGGACATCCATCCTTCTATCCACATCTATCGAAGCAGCACATTGTCTTCTTTTTGTTAGCACATATCCACCATATAAAAATCTAAATTTTAAAACGAACATTTTAATTTGATTAATGAATATTTTATTGGAAAATTAATATATAGCATATTCGCCAGGCTTATTACTTTGTAAACTGACTTAGTATAAAGTTTTAATTTCAGCAAGCCTAGCCATTTTACATAATGGTTTTATCAAGACAACCATCTCCAGTTCTTTCTTAAGGAAATGCCTTATTATTCGCCAGTGCCAATTAGCGAATGTCTAGCAGGATTAATATGAAAACTTTCCCACTTTAATCCTAGCAGTTTATATTTTTTGGATAAAATATGGTTTGACCATGTCAATTTGAATTTTTAGCTATAGTTTTCCATTATAGAAAATTTTGCTTATTAGATAAAATGATTTAAGTAATATTTTCAAACAGTATTTCAAATTAGTTATGAATTTCTACTGAGGCTGAAAGTACTCATCATCAGTTATCTTAGGAAATATTGGAATTCTTATTTAATTAACTATAGTATTACCTTAGATCACTGATAATGAATACTTGGCAATACTCGAAATAGAGTTGTATAATCAACCAAATTTCAATAAGTTAATTAAATTTTTGTAGTTGTTGTTTCTTCATTACTGTTCGAACCTTTCTAAAATCTTATTTCCTTTATGATAATTTCATTTATGACTGAACAATAGAATAGAAACTAAAATCAGAAAAACGATCCTAAAGGCATTACTTAAAAGTTATTAATAGAGCTAATTGTTGCAGCAATTATCTTTGCTAGACTGATGTTTACTATATGTACAAAATGAACGTATATACCTATAAAAGTATCAAGGTATTAGGATCACATTGGGACCACTAATTGGATATTACGTGCATTGCTAAGTCAGTTTAAAAAAATATAAATATTTTTGAATTTCATCGTTTCAAATATAATTAAACAATACTTCTAAATAAATCAAATTTTCAAAATAAATACAAAATAAATAAAATAATCACTGTCTATTTATGGACTGCATGCAAACATTTTAAAATATTATAATCAAAATAAAATTTATTTTTATCTATAAGATACTCAAATTCTTGTGAAACTATGCTATTTAACTTGCATCACACTTGACATACAGTAAAGATAATTGTACAAACTTTGGATATTGAATTTAACATTAAACTTTAGGAGATATCTTATCTTCTTTTATAGCTGTTCGACTCACTTCTGCACAAAGTAATCATCAAGATTGACAAAGTAGCATAAAATTTTCGAAACCTACATAAATAATAAGATCTTACGCGATTCCGTGCAATCCAAAAAAATATACATAGTCAGAACATACTTGTATCATTCGCATGTCAGATAACGATGCGACATATAAAGCATCTCTTAAACCATCTTTTATGCATTTCTTTCAATTGATATAGTAATGAATAGCGATGTCATCTACAACTATATGAATTAACACTAAAAAGCCTAAAAAGTCTTTTTTTATCTTAAAAAATAAAAAATACTACTCATACGGAGTAGTACGTCACGTTAGGTTACGTTTCGTTGGAGTGACAGCAAAGCTCACTTAAGCAAAAAGAATTTCGCGTTCTGATTCCATAAAGGAGTCACTGTTCGTACGATACACCTAAAGGACTTTCATAAAAGTAAAAAGCACACGAACAGCTTCCTTTAAAAAAGATGCGGTCGTCGTATTTAGGTAGAATGGAACCAATTTGACAAGTCAATAAATCTGGCTATGTCCTAAATAACAGCTTTACCGAGCCAGTTAAAAAACGGTGCCTCTAAGATACAGTCAAAGTGCCTGTATTTGCAAGTTATCTGCAATACAATTGCATATGCATACAGATACCCATATAAGTTATAGGCCGACAATCCTAGGTAACTCGTTGAGAGAAATCCGGTATAATCGAACTATAAGGGAAGCACCGAAGTACCGAAAACTTAGATGATTTTAATATCAAGACCCGTTTGAAGATCTATTTTAATGCTATGAAAGATATTGACGTGAATTGTCATTAAGTCTGCGTGAAAGATACTGCTGTGATCAGACAGTAGCAGCAAAACACTAAGACCCAATTTATTATGAAAGATTTCACTGCTAACTTTGTTTTTTAGTTTGGACCTCTCTGATTTAATGTTACTGAAATCAGATTAATACTAAGTCCGTAACCCAAAATTATAATAAAAAAATTCAAAATATTCTACTCTATTTAAAACATAAAATTATATTATTTTAAAAAGAGGAAATAAAATTAAAATTTACACCGGTCATTAATCTTAGTTGATAATAAATATTCGTAGAAAAAGATCAAAATTATCTGCTTCTGATTATATTTCCTTTCTTTTAGCTTTTAATAATATCAATTTAATGTTATCAAAAACTGTAAATTATATTTCCTACAAACTATGTTTTTATATTTAAATTTAAATAACTGAAAAATTATAGGTATAGCTAAGATTTAAGATATAACTTTAAGTAGACAAACCTTAAGGCCTTTTAAAATCTCACAGTAACAAAACTATTTAAATATTCTTGAACATATCTTAATAACATCTTTCAATCTATATGTGAACATCCTTTTGTTTAATTATTAATTAATTATTTAAATAAGATTATTACCAAAATCTGTTTAAGAAAGATTTAACATTATTGGAAAAGGGCCTATTTTAGAGATATTATACCCAAATTCCTTCTATTTACAACATGAATAAGTTTACCCAAGTTTTAATACAGTTGCCAATGAGGTAGTCAAAAAACTACAACTTCACCATTTTAGTTTCAAACCGATTTATGAAATAGCGAAATATATTTGCAGAAGATCATGTATTAAATATAGAAATTATTTGGAGAATATTATACTGTAACATTGAAACAGATATAAAAGAAGGTCTTACAATCTTATGAATATTTTTTAGAGGGAGGTCGTGCAACTGATCAAGATCCTCTAGAAAGTAACTCTTCAGTATGTGTAGAAAATAAGTCTATAACAAACAATTTATGCCTGACTGAATTTTTTTTAAAAATCTTAGAACTAACAAGAGAATCGCATGGTATATAGCAAAATATTCGAAATAATATGCAAAATATTCAATAACAAAAACTTTAAGCCGCATTCGAAAATCTTATTAAAGCCGGTAGCACCAGTAATCAAATATTCAGTCTTTGTCACTTACGTCGACAAATACCTTTTTACACTCGCCTTTCTATATCTGACTGGCGGCATAACGCTCTCCCCAATATTTCAATCCTCAGCACCTTTCCTGCCGACACTATACAAGTCAAGCGCTTTATGGAATAACCACAGTTATTTATATTTTATTTTATCCTATCCTTCACGTACGCACATATTATAGTTACGACGATTTAGATTGATCGACTTTTCATAAATTGATGGACCCAAATCAATATCAGCATTCACTTTATTATTTATCTGTTATGCGGTACTTCATATATGCGATAAAGTAAACCGCCATAATCCAAAAAAGGAGAAAAGTTGAACTGTAGCCAAAAAGCTAGTAGCTAGCTGTTGTAACGACTAACATTAGGACTTAAAAACAGAGTAACTAATAGTATTAGTATATTCCATTTAAATGTATAGGATTGGACGCTTCACTAAAGCATCTCTAATAACTGATTGCAAATATCTTATAGAAAATGTAGATCTAATGTAGGTAGATAATGTAGATAAAATGTAGATCTAAATTAAAATAGCAAAAGTAAATAAATAATGAATGATTCTAATCCAGCAGTTATTTATAAATTGTTCATCATTACAAATATAGTATTAAGTTCTAGTATTATTAGTTTTAAAATGCCAAAAAAAAAGCATTACAGAATTACCTCTATTAACTTCTCAAAGTTTTAACAATCGAATGTAGATAACTAGTATGAAATTATTTTTTATAAGATAACAGTTTTTTTAATAATTTATTCAAGATTATTATAGAGGAAAAACCCAAATATGTACTTAATAAATATATATAAATATGTGTTTTTATTATATATAAATAAATTTAATATATATAAAAACACTGAAGATGTGTTGTCCACTGTGGCACGAGTTTTACTATCGTTAAGTGTCAGCTTTTTTGTACTTATTAATATATCAAAGTGTGTTTTTACATAAAATGAATACTTAGATACCAACCAATATTCTTCGGTTCTTGTTTTATAATTTCAAATCCATCGGAAAAGTAATGTATATGTTTGCACTCTCAAAAAACATGTGGAATTATAAATAAACCATTTCTGCTGTTTATGGCAAAGTGTAATTATTGATAAAATTCTCACTGTGCGCTTACGCTATCAGTATCTTATCGCAAATCAGTGGGACGGATAGTGTGGAGTATAGCGAATTCTACCAAAATGTCAAAACAATAGTAGGTTTTCCTTTAGAGATTCAGTATCAAAGAGAAAGTTTGCAAGCGAGGTAATAGCTCAAAACAAGCAGAAATTTGTTTATTTGCAGAATGTGTGATTAAAAATAGATAATATAAAAAATAATAAATAAATATATATAGTATATATGTACTTTATATATATGAAATTTAATAATAAAAACCTAATAATATTCTCATTTAATTATTTTAATTAATTAATTTGTGATTTGTGTGCAAAAAGTAAAAATCCTATTAAATCATTAACTTGATAAGATATAGACTTTTGGTTATAAAAAGTACATTGAGTCATAATTAAAAAAACTCCAATCACAAGGTTTTGTTTTTCTTTTTATCATTTAAGATACTCTATGGAAATTGCAACATTAGTACACAAAAATATTTATTAAATAAAAAAATAATTGCATTAATAAAAATATAAGACGATAAAGACACTAAATGGCGAATAAAGGTGTAAATGTTGGATTTGCAAAATGTTTTATCATTTTCATGGCAGTGGTTATTTTGGTAAGTTAAACTTAAAGCCCTAGTAACAAGTAAGGCCCTATGCTCCACTTGGCAGAAAAGACATCAACAAACAACAACAACAAATAAATATTATTTCTGTGCACCGCTTAAAAATTTCT